GGGTGCGGGTCTCGGCGGAGCAGCCGGCCTAGTGCCCTGCGGGGCCGGGCGCGACGAGGAGCAGCGCTGCCTCTTCTCTCCCCTCTGCCTTGTCATCCGCCCGCCGCTCGCAGCGCTGGCACCGTTTGGTTCGGACGTGCTTTGCCTTAAAGCCATCTCTTTCTTGTGTTGTGGCTTTTTAAACTCTTTACGTTAACCTCCCCTTACCCTCTCCTGCGCCTGCCCCGGTGACACTTTGATAACGCTGGACATGAGCAGTGACTGAAGCTTTATAACGTATCAGTCTGAAACGTAGGAGGTGCTATTTTAACCTTTCATTTACGTGAAATTATTAAAATGTTAGGGATAAGCGATTACTAGAAGTGAGTGAAGAGTATGCTGATGGAAAATACTCTCTGTGTACAGAAGAGTAAAAACTATGAAATTAGTTTCTGTTGTAGTAATTATATACTTTTTTCCCTTCCAAAGATGACATCCCTTCTGTAATAAAGTCCTTGATAATGCTTGTTAAAATACTGTTTTCTTTTCAAAAGCGACATGTAGGAGGCAAATCCAACCTTAAGAGATCACAGACCAACAGAGATGAAGACTTTTGTTCTTCCGAGTTGGTATTTGAATTGGGGGACAGGACTGCAGAGGATACGTGTACTTCAAAGCACTTTGAATGCCAGACTCAAAGTTTTGAGAAAATCAGGCTGTTTATGCACGTATCTCATTGCGCTCTGTGTAGCGTGAAGCTAGTGGGACCAGCTCCATATTCTTGTAATCTCTAAACAACAAACTAATAAAAGTAGTCCTTGAATTTAGCTTTTTGTGAAGAATACTTATAGCAGCAGTGTTGTCGTTGCCAAAGAGTATTAGAGAAACTGGGTTTGTAAGAGAAGCTCATGGTTTTCAAAGAAGTATATGTAATTTCTGATTCTTGATAAAAGATGTATCAAAGCTTATTTTGTTAAGTCCTTCAAGGTTTGGCAGTCCTGCTTATGCAACCTGCCCAAAATTTACTTTTCATTCTGTGGAAGAAAACAAGTAATCTGACCAGCCTGTGGTACTTCAGTGCCCTTCAGCTCTCGACTCCAGTTGTGCTATGACTGTGTACTTGAACAAGATACTGGCGGGTATCAGTCCTCACTCTGTCCATGCTTACATCTGCAAGGAAAGGAGGTTGTAGTGAGGTGGCTGTCAGTCTCTCTTCCCAAGCAACAAGTGATAGGACGAGAGGAAACGGCCTGAAGTTATGCCAGGGGAGGTTTAGATTGGATATTAGGAAAAAAATTCTTCACCGAAAGGGTTATCAAGCTTTGGAACAGGCTGCCCAGGGAAGTGGTTGAGTTGCCATCCCTGGAGGTATTTGAAAGTTGTGTAGATGTGGCGCTTAGGGACGTGGTTTAGTGGGACTTGCCAGTGTTAGGTTTACAGCTGGACTTGATGATCTTAAAGGTCTTTTCCAACCTAAATGATTCTGTAGTGCTATCTGAAGTAAACAGGGCATGGAGCAGAAAGCATATGTGTTCAATATTTTGGATGATTGGGATAGCGTGACCGACCACCTATGGTGCGAAGACACTTAAACAGGTCCCATCTTTTGCTGTAACTAACCATGTCTTTATTTCTGTGTCTTTCAGTTCTGACATTAATGTATTTCCCTTCTTAACAGATTGGGTTGAAGTTGCCAATGATCTTTTAAGGAGCTGTCACATAAAGCAGCAGATAAAGCATCTCTCAGAATGTGGTGCTGATGTGTTTGTTCGTCTTTATGAGTCAATCTTAGGAGAAAAAGTACCAGGTGGGAACAATAATTTCTAAACCTGATTTTTTTGTCTCTGCGTATTTTGTAATGAACAAATTCGAGTTTGCAAAACTTATTACAGATGCAGGGTTTTTAAAGTATTTGTATCCTTCTAGAGACAAACACATAATTCTTTAAGAAGATTTAAGTAATATTGGCAATTTTTTTTTGACTGGTATGAATGGCAGCTATGAGCAGAGCTCACTAGCAAAAGTTTTTCTATTGTAAATTAGGCCTTCAAAGCCATACATGTGCACAATACCTTTGAAGGGTGTGAATTGGCTCATTTCTCTTAAAAAAGTGTTAATACTGAAGCCTGTTCTCATAAAATGCTTAATAGTTATTGTCTGCTAAGAGCTAAGCTGTGATTTAACTCTGGTTTAATCCAACTCCATTTGCCTTCAGTGACAACAGTTAAGCAAGGGCTATACAATTATGTGTTTGTTTACTTTATGGTAAACAGTTGATTTTGGGAAGTGTCAAAACTCCTACTTGCAGAAGATTTTAGTAACACTGAGGTAACTGGCAGCTATTGGAGGTAGAAGTCCTGTTAAATGTAATCCCAGAACTAAAAATAATGTTGCTACCAAAGAAGTCAAATACATTGCAGTCCAACTAGGCACTGACAGAGGAAGAAAAGACCTTAAAGACAAACTGCAGTTCGAGTTTGATGATCTGAGCTAGATATGTGTGCTGGGAGCGAAGGAGGAAAAATACTTTACTAGTCTCTATTCTTGAATTTAATAATTAAGCTGATAAAATCCTCATATCTTCCAGTAGGTGTTCTAAGTTTGTACTCGGTATTTATAAAAGATTTCATATGACACTTGGCTTTTCACCAAGTACACAAGGTATTGAAAAAATACTAACTTGTAAGTGCAAGGTAAAGTAGTCAAAACATCTTCAGTAAGCTCTCCATTTAGATAGCATAAAATCTGTTATTTATTTTAAATAGATTTCATAGCTTCTCCTAGAAGCCAAGAGGATGATGCACATAATGTACAAGCAGTGATAGATTCCCTGGCTTTGGACTATTTGCAGGTCAGCTTGTCACACATCACTGGTAAGTACTTGTTTTAATGTAGACAAACACCAGCTGAGTACCTGTGTGGTTTAATTTGAACATTTTATAAGAACTATGTTATAAAGCATACTTTTGTACTTACATCAAAGGTCTTTTTCCTATAGTGAATGCCATCAAAACACTGAACCCTTGCCTTGGACATCAGGTTATAAATTTAAACAGCAAGCAGAGAATAAATAAGAGCCATTTTGTATGACACAGACCTGTAAGAAATGTTAAAGTTAGCAATCAACTTGCCTGCTAAAGCGTTAACTGAAGTCTCTTGCTGGCTCAGTGTTTTTCTGTGTACAGTTAAAGGTTGGAGACTGGGGTTTAAAACATGAGCCTTGAATTTCAAACTTATTACTGAATTTTTAAAAGTTGGTGAGTAAGGACTTGAACCATGTTATGTCTGTCCTTTCTACACAGATAATAGCTTTCACTGAGTGTTCATATGTATGGTCTCACATAACATAGCCTGCAAAGAATGAAAACTGCTTGCTTGATATGAAATACCTCTTTCTAATTTGGTACCAGTGCAGTATGGCTGGTATTTGTATCCCTCCCTGCCAGTCCATAGACTTGGTTCATGCTGTAACTAGTATGTACAAGAAAATATTAAATACCAACTATCCCTGAAAATATCCCTGATTTTTTTTGTGTGTAAGTAGGTATGGCACCAGTAAACTTTCACTTATTAAAACTGAAAATATGCAACTTCAGGAAACCAATTTTAAGATACGTTAAACTTACATATGTAGCCATAAATGAGTTACCAGTTCTCTTCTGAGCTGACACCTTCACAAGAATTTCCCAGCACTCTTCTCCAGAAAACTCCTGCTTTGGAGAATTTTTCTTCTGTGAAGTACTAGTTATTAATATGTGGCAGTATCTTCTCTTAAGGTGAGAACATTGTGAAAGGAGAAAGGAAATCTATCAGAAACCTCCTGGAAATATTTGATGGTTTGTTAGAGTACCTTACAGAAGAAGTGAGTGAATCGTCTTCTCAGAATGGAGGTGAGTGAACAGATATCCTAGTTTAAGGTCTTATGTTCTGCTACTACTGTATTATGTACAGCTTTTTTTCTGTTTGTCTGTTATTAAGTGAGCTTGCTGAAGGCTTTGTTAGGTTCTTGTGACCATAATTCTTGGTGTTCATAGATGGAACACAGCTCCCCTAATAGGTAAAAACTGTTTCTTTGCTGTTCTCAGTAGCAGCTTCCATTGGAAGGTGTAAGCTTTGTGAAACCTGTTTTGGGATACCCAAGGTGTTTCCAGTGTAGCAAAGATTTATTTGGTGGTTTTGCCTTATTTATAACCTTGACAATGCAGAAGAGGAGAAACACTGAAAATAATTGCCTCTTGATTATTAACAGATGAGGCCAATGTGCTATCCAATAATGAAATTCAAATTGCATCTCAAGAGCGGCTGGAGAGCAATGAGGGTCAACTTAGACAACCTTCTATATTCTCATCAGTTGAAGGGTAAGAACAATTCTGAATATTTGCATTGGCATAGTGATCTTTTTGTGTATCTGTAGAGAAACTAGTAGGTTTTTAATAGTGTGCAAGTAGGAAACATACTGATTACATGTCAAATGGGAGTTAACTTTCTCCTTCAGCTGGGCATCAAGAGGGTTAAAACTAGATCTAGAACTTTGTTGCTCTTGAAGAGTGCTGATGGCATTTTGTTTCCCTAATGTTTACTTTACGTGTGGAATGAAACAACTTGGAAACTTTGTCTCAGTTTTAAATTATTGTATTTTAGTTAAACTACATTTGATTTATCTTCATGACTTGTACATTGCTTTGTTCTGTAGAAGCTGGTCTCCCATGTCCTACACTGCAATAGCCAGCTGCCTGAAGTAGAGTTGCCACTCTTCTGCAGCTCCATCTTGTGGGCTGAAGCAGCAAAGATTTTTAGAGTAAATATTTTACCGCTTTATGTTCCTCGTAGGTCCCAGTCAGAATTTTTTGTTCCATCTTGTGATGTAGATGGATCAGAATCTACCAGTGAATTAATTAGACTTGGAGATACTGCTCATTCATTTTCCAAGAGAGAGGAAGGTGAGTTTGGATGAAAAAAATTTTAAGACTACCCTGTAGTATCATTCCTAGGCCCTTTTTTGTGGTTTCTTTTTAAAAAGTTATTTCTTTCAGGCAAATACTTTGTTTTAAACTCTTAGTTTACAAAAAAAACAGCCCACAATAAGCAAACATACCTGTAGTTGACTTTGCTGAAGTTAAAATGTAGATTTCTTAAAGTAAGTATTCCAGACACTGTTTTTCATGACTCCTGAGCAACATTATTTGGATAAAGGCTTGTTGTTTGACTTATAATTCAGTTCTCCCTACAAAGACATTTTACTTTGTTTAATAGAATAAGATGTTTCTGAAGCCTTTAATTTATTTCATTTATTGCAGTGTGAAATGTATTATTCAAGATTGTAAAAAGACGAGTAAGTTCATTCTTAAAGAAGATTTGTTAGGAATGTGTGCCACTTAAAAACATTATGGGTGGCTCTGGAACAAATAATGAATAGACTACTTAAATGGAGTAGATTCCTATTTCCTCTTTTCCTATAAGAATATTCCTGTTCTTATTGGTGATTAATCTCTCCAAGTAGAGGCATAAAGAATGTTATGAATTATGAAGTTTTTACTGAATGTAATTACAAGTAGGACTTTACCAGACCTATTTTCATCATAGTATGGATTGCTAGCACCAAGTTATTAACATACCAAACATGAAAATTATCCATCTAAACAGTTCAGAGCAAGATGCTTTATAGTTCTTTTTAATCTTTTTCAAACACCGCTTCTAGAATTGCAGTTGCCTCAATTGTTACCAGCAGAAAAGGACAAGGGGGTGGAAGGATCTAAAAACTCAGAGGCTATTGCAACATTACCTAGACAGTTCTCTGAAACTCAAAGGGCAATTGTAAAGGAAAAGGAAGATGGTGAGTATTCATTCTTCTGATACCTAATCTACCTGATTTTGACTAAGGAGTGTAGGGTGCTAAGGCAGTGTAGAGGAGAATCTTAGTCATGGATGGAAACATTTTTGCTATAGTTTGGAATAAATAAATACTTTTCAGAAATTTTATATTTCGGTGTCCCAGATAATGGAGTTTGCGTAATCTGGGGTATTTCTGCTTAGCTAGGATTCAGCTTCAGATAGGTTTTTTTCTTTTTGTGGTTCAATAAGCAAAATACGAAAAGTAGAAAGTCCTTGTGGAAGATCTTAGCATCCAAAATCATGTTTTCAAGGGGGCTTTCATGCTGTTCTTAAGGGCAGCTATGGGTAGATTGTACATTGGGTGAATTGTCCTGACAGGTGGCAGCCATCTCCTCTGCTGACTATGTCATTGCTTAGAATTCCTGCAAATGAGCTGCACACTAGCAGGCATTCCTCAAGGAGTATCTAGGAAGGCTGTGGGGAAAATAACAGCAAATTGAAAGCTATTTACTGTGTACGCACATAGCTACACCCATGTAGTATGACAGCAGTAAATTAATATATATGTATATACACACATACACATATATGCAGTCATGAGAAACTCGATGCTCTTAGAAAAGTAGTGGGACAGGGAGGGGCTGCACTATATCTCTGTAAACAGAAGAAAACTGATATAAAGCATAAAAATGTCACAGTACTGTTCTATGAAATGCAACAAAGATGGTAGTTAACGTTAGATATTTAGATACTTCCATCTAACATGTATGGAGAATATACAAAACTAACATTCTGCTTTCACAGATAACACTTAAACTGCAAGTTCTTAATATTTGTCTCTTAAGGATCAGTGGAGTCTGTTCATACTACTGAACTTCAAAAAGAGAGTTTGAGCGCCAGTGCTACAAAACTTGGGGAGCCTATACAGCAAGCTATTCCTTTGCTACCACCATTTCAGCCTTCGGAAGCCAGACCTTATCCTGTATGGAGAGATTATCAGAGCTCAGCCAGCCAGTTGGCAACTTTGGCTAGCAGTCAAGGAGTGAAAATTCCTATGGTAAGTAAAAACCTATCCCTTGATTTTTTTGTTGTTTGTTTGTTTAGGTAATCAATAGTGTCGTCATTTTAAAACCTTCTAGTGTACTTGCAGAATGGGAGCAGTTAGTCTCTGAAGAATGCTTCTGAATGTGTCAGATTTTATCTTCAGTTCAAAGAATTTTAGATTGTGGATTAATTCTCCACTGAGTGTCCAGAGAGGAAGTTAATTTGAGGGGTGTGTTTATTTTATACACATATACATCTCTATAATCAGTGTAACTTCACAGTTTACAACATAGTAAACAAAGTAATTATCGTGTGTTTTTACTAATGTATAAAATCAGCATTGATTTCCATATGCAGACAAACCTAATGTATGACCTTCCTGCCACCACTCTCCTGTGACTTTATAGAAAACATGTTGCTTTTTATTTCAGCTTGAAAAGTCGCTTACACAAAAATCTGAAGATGTTTCTGGTAGTCTTCCTCTATCAAGGAGGATCCCTGGTGAGAGAGAATTTTGTCTCCTATAGGGTAACTCTTAAGTGTCAAATGATGCATTTATTTTTATTTGGTCTACAAGAAACATGGTTTTGACACTACTAGTGCTGTTTTTTTTTTAATTCAGCCATAAGTTCATATTTCTATCTCTATTTTATAGAGAAACAAAAATAGGTTGCTTTTAAGCTGTTCACTGTGCTGGAGAAAAATAATCTGTGTCCCCAGTTTAACTCCTTTTTTAGTTAATCCAGTTAAGATGTGCCTATACTACAGAAGTATCTTCTGGAAGATAACTCCCATGTCTGAGTTTATTCTGATTAGAGAAGCATGGACCAAACAAGCCAGTTTCAACTCTAGGAAAAAGCCATTAACTGCTATTGTAGAAAGGGCTTAGAAGCTAGTTTTCAGTGCTTATTTTCTGTTGCCTGGGAAACACAGCTTACCTTTCTAGTTTCCATAGCATTCCCATGACACTGAACATTCAAAACTTGAGAAATTACTAAAATGAATGTCACCACTGTGTAACCCACAGTTCCTTTGTCATTCTGTTCTCTTTGAACACTTTGGTTCCAGAGGCCACGGATCACATCTTTTTTTTGCTTGTTCCCCACATTCGCAGGCACAGTGCAGTCTATACCACCAACTAACACTTACCTGTCATCTGCTTCTGCAGTGGGAGATGAGGTGGTATCAAATGATGCTGAGGATAATGTGGCAAAGGTAGATGTTGGATCTTTACCTTACTTGTGGAAGTTCAGTCAATATTTTTGGATTTCATCGTAATTCTTCTGGTATCTTGTGGCACTTCTGTGCTTTCTTCAAACCTGCTTTTGGCTTGCTTTGTTCAATGTACAATCAGTGATTCATAAGTCATGTCAGTTCTTTTTGGAGGTGTTTGCTCCAAGAAGTGTAAAGGCCGGCACCTAGAGTTCTAATTTACCACAACCAACCAGTTACTAGTTACATTGATTCTAATGAAAGACGTATAAAACACAAGAGTACAGTTATGTCATTTATCTGAAGTGTATCAGTATTCTAAATTAGGAAGAATTTTAGTTGTTTGTGGTTGTTCAGACTCTAATAAAATGCAGTTTTTGCTCCCTTCCCTAAAGATCACCAAAGTGCCTGGCTAAATTCTTTGATTTTATTTCTGTACATTGTCCTTTGCTTTTCAAAAACTGAATAATGCAAAACCCACAAATTGATCAGCAGATGCCATTCTGTGCTAGTAGAAACATGTCTGTATAGGAAGTTCCTTGCTCTAGAAAACACTTTTTTTGCCTTTTGCAACCACAAGAGGCACTCACAGACTTCATTTGTTCTAATAGTTTAAGCCCTTACTTCTACATTGTCTGTTTAAAACATTGCCTCTGGTTAAAACTCATTTTCCATTGGTCTGTTTGCAAGTATATGCATGCCAACCCCAAATTAATCCATTTTGAACAGATAAGTTACCAAGCAGTACTAAACCAGTGTAACTAAATGGGACAAACACTTATGTAGTGTTTTCTTTTAGTTTGCTGTGAGTTGCAGCTTAGTCTCTGCTCAGTGAGGTTCAGCTTACTTGCATTACTTGGCATTAGTCCCAGGCTAATGAGGTAGTGTGTAGGGATACCCATACAACTTAACCTAGACCTTGTTCTTCTGATCCAGTGGTTTAGCTGTAGATGATTCTTGAACTGATCTCTGTGTTTCTGCTAGTCTGTTTCTTTAAACATCTGATTCTGTAAAGCACACTATCTTCAGTCAGGGATCTGGAGGTATAACTACTTTTATATATATATATATGTATAACCACATAACAGATGTTTCTCCTATAAAAGCTGTTGTAGGATCACTCTGCTTGCATGATCTATGGTATTTCTGAGCTTTACTGTGAAGAGCTTAATAAAATCTTAATTTACTCTTACTCGTTTTCCTAGGTTCCTCAGGTATATAGGACTTCTACATCTGCTTCCTCTTTACAACAAAAACTCCCAGTACATGCTGAACAAGTAACACAAACTCCAAGACCCGAATCTAGATATCTACCTAGAAAGAAAAGGCAAGTTCAATTTTTTTGGTACTGAGCCAAGTTAGCGCTTTCATATACATGGCCACCCAGGCACATCCCTCCCCCCCATTAAAAATAAGATCTCTTCCTCCTTGGCTGCATGACAATAAAAGATTAATTTTAACAGAAAGATTTCCTGTTTCTCCTGACATATGCATTTTGGTAAATATAGGCCTTTATGCATTCAGCTTCTACTTTATCATATAAAAACGTGCTTACAGAAAAAATGAGCTGGAATTGTACAAAGTAATGATTATCTTCAAGTTTAGTAATGCTAATCTTCAAGTTTTTAGAACAGAAATGAAATCTGTTTTCTGTTTCAGCAGATATGAAAATTCTACCACAGATTCACTTGAAGAGTCTCTTTCCCACAGAGCAACAAAGGAAAAGCTATCGGAGCAAGAACTCCATAAAGTGTCAGAAAAACTCTCTCGCAGGTTAAATGAACTCGATTTAGTAAGTGAAATCTATTCTTTGTTGTATCTGAGCAATCTAGCCTTAGTAATGATGATGGAGAGAACAAGAATATAAATGTAATATTGATAAAAAGGACATCTGCAACTAACAGCTGACTTCAGACCGTTCTAAATTTTGAATGTTCAACCTGACCCCCCCAATCTATCTGATAGATGTTGGAGAGAGCTCTGGGCGGGCAGACCAGAGAGGAAGAGTCGACGGATGAAGACAGCCTGTCGCAGCACAGTGACAGTGTCATGGATTATCGCCGAAGGAAAGCTGAGCGAGGTAACAATTCTTATGCCAGTTAAGTATTAGGATGGAAAGGAATAAAAAAAAAATTCCTTCTCATGTAAAGCTGATACACTGAACTTCTCATAGTTATTTGCCAAGTTTTGTATTGTTAGTTCACTTATATTTTGTCTTAGATCCAAACCTGAGCAACAGAACAGAATTACAGTTAAGTTCCCATTTACCACTTAAGTAGCTATGGTAAAACTTTACTAAAAATACAAGGGAAACACAGCTGCAGTAAAAAGTGTACAGAAGGTGGGGGGAGGGACAGAATACAAGCTCATTGGTAGGACTGTGATTCTAAAGGGAGGGCCTACTCACAGTACATTTCACTGCAGATTCTTCTGTGCTGAACACAGCATGTACATCTAGATGTCGTACAAACATACTGGGCAGTGTGTGTGTTGGTGCCAGTATGACTAAATAACCACCCTATATGTACACCAGGCTATAAAACTATCGTATAGCTTGATCTAATCCATGTGTGCAACATTGTGTTGCAAGATGGAACCGTTTGTGACCCTGGCATATACAGAGTCTCTCACCTTGAGCTATCTTCAGTTGTCTTTGCTGCTTTTTCCTTTCCCATCTTGAGTATCTCCTGGCACCTTTGCTACTACATAAGCCCCCCAAATTGTGATTTGGGGCAGGGATAATTCTAAAGGCAAAGGCTTCAGCTTTTTATGACTTAATTTGTGCTAAACCTTTTGACTCTTACGCTGTATGGGTTTTTCGGGTCTTTTTTTCCTTATGTTTGGCTGGAGGTTTTTATTGTTTCAAGTTAGACACCTAATGAATCGCCTTTCTTACAGACACACCACACCAAAGGTACCCAAGCAGGCCACGATCCCTTTCTCCATCGTCACCCTCATCTCACCATCAACTCTTTTCTGAGTTGGAAGATAAACTCGGCAGTAATGGAACAGGCCAAATAAGGGAAATACGTAGCCAGTTGCAAAAAGAAAGGGATGAAAGAACAAAAAAAGCAAAGGTAATTTCTTAGACCTATTGGTCATTCTTACCAACAGTTATACTAAAAGCATTAAAACTGAATGTTCTTACTTAATGAGGACATCTGGCCTACCTCAGTAATTTTTGTACTGTTGTAGCTGTAGACTGCTGAGGAGAAGACTTAAACCCCAACTTTTGAACAAAAGAGAGTTTGAAGTGGAAGAATTAACTCATACACCAAACAAGTCAGTGAGGTGGTTGTATGGACTGATTATTTTCTCTGAAAAGTTGTCTTATTTTTATTTTCTAGATGGTTGCTAAAGCCTATGAAGATGAACTAAGAATTTATGAAACTAGGGAGAGGCTTAGACTTTCCAGGCTCAGAGCAGTCATCAAGCAAATGGTATGTGATGCACTATGGTGATTGTTGGTTGTGTTTTGGTGTTTGTTTTTTTTCTAAATTTGTCTAGATGATCTGTCCAGACACTGGGTATGTCTTTTGAGTACAAAAACTCCTCGACTTCCAGTGTCATAGTTACAGCACTGTGTACTAATAAAGTCGGAAAACAGAAGGACAGCTTTTCCTTAGAAAGGTAGAACCAAGGGACAAGTATTTTTGGAAGTTTCATCACTTCAGTGTATTAAGAATAAAACTTATGGGTAACTTCACCACCATGCTTTTCACATGAAGTGGTAACTTCAAGACACTCAGATTTAAAGAAAGCGAAGTGAGCAAGTAGATAGCTTCCATAGACTGGCCTAAACTTCTCCACAGATGGGCACTTCACACACACATCCCCAGCACCTGGATTAATAAGGTTGGAGCCCCTGTACACTGTAGGCAATGTGCTTAATATTGTCATAGTCTTTAACTGCTCTAAAAGTTGGGTTTGTGCAAGGATGATTCTCTAATGTTATGTATATGGCAAAAGGGTTTTTACCACTTTCTTACATGCTGCTGGAACAGCAAAGAACCTAAACTGAAAAGCTCTGTTATACCAATGTTGTACCAGTGTAGGCTGCACTGGTCTTTTTCACCACCTTTGCAGAAGCAGTCCATAACGCTACTGCAGCAGCCTAAGTGCTGCAAAAGAGCTGAGGTTATGCAATAGCAAGATTTAGCCTTTATTTGAACCTTGACCTGCATCTGGTGAATTCTGCTCTTCTGGAAAATCCAATTCAATATGTCTAAATTCTCATTCTACAGTTTCAGACACTTAAGTTCTGATACCCAAACTATGTGATCTATCAGTCTTTCCCTTCTTATACCTGTTCTCCATCTGTTTTACATCTGCTCCTAAGGAACAAGAATTCAAAGAAAACATCTTTAAAGAACCTCCAAAAATGCCTCAGCCAGTGAAAGTTTATTCTAGAAAAACCACACCTCGGAATCCCAAATACAGCCAGTGGATTCCAAAACGAGGGACTGTGAAGCCAAAGAAAGCAGCTCCAAGTAAGAACTGCAAAACTATACTTCGTGGAAAACTGGCATCTTTTGAAAGCATGTGTTGAACTCCAAGAATAAAGGCGTCAGTCCAACATATACCAGTCAGCTGTAGCATTTTCCCCTTTTTATGACCTCTATACGTCTGGATTTTTTGTTAGGGAAGATAATGCTCTAAGTAAATGTAAACCACAAATGCACAATCAAAACTGTGAGCTGTGTGCTACCTCCTTAAAATCCCTTGGATTATTTTCAAGGCTTGTTTCCATTACTGCTACTCCTATGCTTGCTCCACTATAGTCTGAGCTCTGTCTTTTTTTTTTTTTCCTCCTAAGCATGTATCAGATTTAAAATTAGGCCTTTAGCTAGAGTGGGCGGGTGCTGAGCCATGTGCAGGTAATAGAGCAGAATCTGGCAATTGCTACCATCTTCCCTTCAAGACCCTGCCATTGTGGTGTTAACATTGTCACTGATTTTGCTGAGCAAGTGATGCTCCAAGAACAGCCAACATGTAAATTACAGGCTCCGTTTTGGTAAACAGCATTATGCAAGCTGATGTATAAGATCACAATAATCCCTTACATATCTGAATGTCGCTCAGGTACACTGCCTTATTTTTTTCCCAGCATTTAAAGGGCATATACTTGGTTAATACCCAATTGTTTCATCTCCCCATCATCTTTTCCTGCATTACACTCAAAGATGTAATGGGCATGATGAGCTGGTTACAAACCAGTTTATTATCCACGTGTTTACTTGACCTGGATCTGTCACTAGTACTGCTCTATTACCATTATTTTAAGTTGCTGCAGCCAGAGAGAGAAAGAAATCGCTGATTAGTGATGGTCAGAACCAGTTGAAGAAAGAAGGGGATACCTGTCTTAATTGCATGTCCTGGCAGGAGGGAAATAATGCCAGAGTTGCAAAAGCAATTCTTCGGCAGATTAGAAGAAAAAAACCCAAAACAAAACAACAAGAAGTTGGGAGTACTTTCTCTGCTGCTGTACTGACAGGGTGATGTTACGTCCTGCTGAGTCACAGCAGCATGGTAGTTATATATAGTGTTCAATCTAAAATATTTCATAACTTAGTTTGACACTGTCATTTGCCACTAAATGTATTCTCCGGGAATTTATTGCTTACACCTGTCCTTTACCTTGTAGTGAAAGTAAGAGATGATGACCTCCTATTTCAGCTACTGGAAGAGTTTCCCCACCTGCACATTTCCCACCATACCATGAATAAAATGTGGCAGCAGCAGCTTGCACATACTGAACAACTTAAGGCACCTTCTGGCAGAACTAGACCAAAACTCCAAAATGAAGTGAGCATTCTTATTCTTCCCTTCTAAGTGTCAGCAGGGGTAGGACCTCTGACAGAAGAGTTAGCAGTCATCAGTTTGTACTGCATAATAATCATCACCCTGACTGTATGCAATATAGATTGGGTACGTGCACATCCAAAGCAGTCTGAAAGGATGTATGTCTGAGCTTGGTTAGAGATGTACATATCAAGGCAGTGGGTTCAAATTTTTATCAGCCACTTGAATATAATGTTCATTTTTTATCCTAGTTTATCTAGTACTGCCTAGGATTGCTGTTGCTTTTCTAAAAGCATTTTTGTCATTTGAGTGCTAGTTCTGAACAGTCTTCTGGTTTAAAAGTTAGAAGATACAAAAGTTGATTAACTTATGCATGGTAACTCTCAACATAAAAAAATAAACATAGTGGAGGAGCAATGTTTAAAACTCTTGCACAGAACTGCCTGTCCTGCAGAACGATGGAAGTAATCAGCTTTCTTTCAACCTCCAGGTTCAACAAGCCCTGAAGAAGCATGAGCTTCTTGTTGCAATTATTAGAAAAGATCAAGACCATAACAAGAGACTGGTATGTTCTTCGAAGGGTATTGTTACATAACATGAAAATGTCGTGTTGAGATAGCTAGAATGCATGCTCCCTGCTCCATGAAAGTGGCTTTTTATCTTATGACAATTTTATGCCCCTTGAGTAGCTGTGGTCTCAAATGCCACGTAATCTGTTGGCTCTGTAGCTACTGAGGTCACGGGAATGGAATATTACTGTTACACTGCACTGCTGCTTTAGAAGTGCAACCAAATTCTCAGAATGTGCAAGGAGGAGAAACTTCGGGCTCATGTTGCTGGGAAAAACACCAGCTACCATGGCAGTGCCAACTCCTTAATTATACAGTGCTCTTGATGGCACCACTTTGCTACATCAGTGGTGACTAAAGCTTTAAACGAATGCAGTGTAAAACTGGGGTAGAGAGAAGGTCCTCAGTAAAGGTACCTATCTATTTAGCAAGGATTAACAAAGCTTTGCCTGCAGCAGTATCTATTGGAAGCTTGGTGGTCTTACAGCTACTGTTCTCCATTTAGCAAGAATTTAAGCAACGTATCTGCCGACAGAAATGGGCTCAGAATAGAGTGAGAGAGAAACGCCAGCAAATTGCTCGAGCCAGGAAATATTATGAAGATTACCGGGTTCAGCTGCGTGCCAAGATGATGCGGGCTAGGACACGGGAAGAAAGGGTAAGTGCTAGATGTCTTGCTCTGCACGTGTGGAATTCTTCTATGTCTGGACCCCAGTGCTGAGGACCCATAGTCCGGCAGTTCAAGTAACGGTACAAGCAGACAGAGAGCACGTGAACACAGTGTAAGAGCCAGGATGAAGTGGTTATTAGTCAAGGCCATAGATAGAAAGGTTCCTTCTTTGGGAAACACTGATACAGTTTAGAGCAAACCACTGTAAAACAAGAAAGGATGCTTTATGGGGTGAAGAGAAGGAGAGAAAGGGTGAAATATCAGCATGGAAAAATGAGGCTGGTAACATGAGAAATTGGGGAAATGAGTTTTCAGAAACAGTAGGATTAAGAAGTTGTTCCTATAGTTACTATCCAAAGACAACAATCTAAATCTTCAGTTAAGGGAACGATCAAAAAGACAGCTTTGATGCTCAGCTGTTTGTTAAACAGAGTGGACTTTTGGACAGATATGATCTCTAATTAGGGCTGGACATCAGAGCTAAGGAAAGCAAGTAGGGTTACTACACTTTGCAAGAGCAGATACACAATTCTCACCTTTAAAAAAAAAAACAAACTAGAAGTTCAGTGCATAATCCACTATTAGTGATTTGAGAAGTGTTTGCCTCAAGCTGCACTGTAGCTGGTAAGTGTTCTTTTGTGGAAATGGAAAGCCTGAGTCCAGGCTGGATTTCCTGCTATTGGAAATCTGGATGAAGGCCCTGATATTAGACAACAGTCATATGACTAAAAGAGTAATACAAATACAGCTCAGCTGTATCTGTACCACCATTACTAGATACAGAACTGTGTACCTTTTCACGGGCAATGACCTATCTTCATGGGATCACCAAGCAGCTGAAAAATGTAAATGTACATTGAAAAGTTTCTGGGAAAGTTTAGGTTTGCCATTTTTAATTGCTGGCAGATATTTAAAAACTTATTTGAAGAAGGCTTGGAAATTCAGAAGCAAAGACTGAAGGACCTGAGAGCATACGCTCAAGAGAAGCGTGCTGAGCAAAGGAGAGAGCATCAGAATGAGCTGGAGTCTATGGAGAACTATTACAAAGATCAGGTAAAGCTTAATCTGCATCAAAGACAGTTAATTATTTGTATTACACTAAAAGTCTTTCCTTTAACTGGTTCAGCTCAAAACATGTGTTATGCTTAGTTTTCCATGCTAGCAGAAGCTTTGTCTCAAGAACGCCAAGAAACACAGAGCAGAGAGAAAGCACAAGCACAAGTAAGTATCTCAATTTTGTGTAAATGTCTTTTCTTTTTAGATGCTGTGGCTAACGTCTGTATTTTCTTTAGATGCTACAGAAAACAAAAAGAGAATTGAGAATGAGGATGGAAAAGGAAATACAGCAACTGCAAGCAGCGATAGTGCAAAGTGATGATGACACCTTTTTTCAAGAACTAGAAGCAGACAGACTGAAATCTAGACTTCAGATGGCTTCCTTTCAGTATAGCAAAAGCCAGTTCTTGTAAGGCTTACAGTAAGTATCATGGCAGTTCTCTCTGGCTGCGATGATGAGAATCTTTCAAAGCTGCTGTAACAGGAAGATGGTGTGTGGCTGTTTTCCTCTGAAATATCTGGTCTGTCATTTTGACATGTCAGAGGTGTAGCTGCTGGTATCTGGGATCTCTACAGCACTTTTATGATCACCAATAAAGTTTCTGAACTACTTTCTACCTTCTTAGCAAGGCTGAGATAATTTTGAGCCTCTACACAGAGAAGTGGGATGCAGTCAGTGCACATTAGTGAAGCTATCTTAGCAGAACCATTCAGTGCTGAGCCTCCTCTACACCTGTGCTGGTTCTGCTGTTGCTGGAATTGAAGAGCAACATTAAACAACACCATTAGCCAGAAATTACTGGATGGGAAAGCTCACCACAAGAGGATCTTTGAAAGAACATCAGTGGTTCACGGTTCCTGTGACAGGACAAGTTAGAGAATGCATGCAATAAACCTGAGATAAAAACCAGTAATTTAAATATATTAAGCAAGGGAGGGCTACTTATTCTACAAAATACTGTGTTTGCAGTTTTGGTGCTGCTGGCTTGTTAATGGCAAAGCAGGCACAGTACTGCCTCCTGTGCTACCAATGTACTAAAAGAAGAAGTCTGAAATAGAAAACAATGACAGTTCTTCTAAAGCAGTAAAATATAAACTTCTGCAAGAACTAGAACCTGGGAAGGACCTGTGGACAGCATTCTTTAGTATTTTTAACGGGTATACTAATAGGCGTGTGCTCTGTAGGCGTTTCAGTCATTGGATTTCACATGGTTTTTGAAAGTATGTAAGCTCATGTGTAAACAAGCACAGTCACAGACAGTAATGCTATATACAAATGGGCAAGTATTAACAACCACGTTTGCTTTTAGAAGCAGGTTATTTGGACAAAAGTTTTGCAATGGTACTTGTATTTAGTACCTGTTTAGTTTTTTTTTAGCGAAAAGCAGATTGGTTCTAGTTCTGTCAGGGTGAGGCTAGAGTAAATAGTGATTACAAATTCCAACATGCAGCTTTCACCTTACTTCAGGTTGTACGGTCTGCGTCTAGGTAGAGTAGGAGCTGACAACAGGCACTACACCTGTCTTTGTAGAATCATCAGGCACTACAAACAATACACCGCTCAGTAGAAAATTCAAGTTTCAGCAGCCAGGCAACCAGAGGGGTGGATACTTAAACTGCGAACAGAGTACATAAACCCAAGCTTGTAATTAGTGGGGCCCATTACTGATGTATTCTCTGCCTGACAAAACGGCAATTTTTAAATAGTTTATCTTTGAGGATGAACTGAAGTGTAATTTTAAACAGGCTCTAGTAGAAGAGTTCTTGCTTAACTGCGTATGTGAGAAGTGATATAAAAATACCAGCATTAATTGCATTGTGTATGCAGTATTTAAAGCTTGCCATGAGATGGTGTTTCTTATGCAGCTGACAACACACTCAGTGAATGAAGACTCATGCACTGGGAAGGGGGGGGAAGGAGCTAAGCAGAAAAACAAGCCCCCAGTAGTTGGAGATGCTTCCTTTACACATTAAATAAACCAGCTAGCAGTTCAAGTACAATACACCTCACTGAGAAACCCGAACAACACGCAACAAAATCTCCACAAAACTAGAGACCCACACCCTTACTGTCCTAGCAGCCCTTTCCAGGGAGCTGCTGTAAGCTAGGCTGATGTGCCATCTTTATCTAAGGGACAATATTTACCAGCTAAATTGATCAAATTTAACAAGTATTTACCAAATATATTTACCTTTTCTCTTCCCTTAAGGAAGACAGTTTAGCTTCTCTGAATTTTGAGAGGACACATCTGCTCACCACCGCTGAGATCCAGATACACCATTACATGAAAGCCAAAAGTAAGACCAATTTTGTTTGACTAGAACATTTAGCACAGTCCTTACTGTAGGTAACAGCATGTAGAAAGACAGCAAGTTTTAATTATTTTCCCCTGAAACAAAGCTGAGTTACTTAAAAATTATGTTGCATTTTAAAGTAAATACTTAAGAAAAACTTAAAACCTTTAAAACCCTTGATGCTGTGACAGTGCAAACAGCATACAATTTATTGCTCAACTTCTGCATGGGTACATACATTAAGTACTTAAAAACCATTTTATACAGATTTTTTTTTAAAGCTCATGTAACAGCTGGGTGAAAATACAATGATACCAATGCTAAAACACTCTGTAATAAATACAATGGAAATGATAAACTAAGAACTGTCAGTTTGTGGAGGAGTAATTACACTTGTATAAACTAATTACAACTACAGACAAAGCTCTGAGGATGTGGTAGAGCCAGAAACCTACTACATAGTGTAAAGTACAACAAATGGCACCTGTTAACTATGTGGTGCTGTTTAAAATCTGAAGCAATCAGAGCATGCTACATTAAGCTGAATGATGCATACTTATGATATAGAAGCAAAGCTCTTACTTCCATCAATGCAGCCAGTTTAAACGCACCAGAAGTTCAATACAGATGTAGTGTTGTAGAAGGAGAATTGAAAAACGGCTTGTGTGCTCTGGACTTTAGTACAACACAAAAATTTGGTACAAATAAATCAGTTTAGGGAAACTGAAACTATGTGCAATAAAAAAATTAGAATACATACTGTACAAAGCACCATTACAAAACTCTTTACACCGAGAAATTAAATCCTCTGAATCTCAACTGTGTACTGTATATTTGAAATCTACAAAAGTCACTGTTCATAATTAAACATTCATAATGAAAAGCAACAGCATAAAACCATGATGTGACATCTCTCTAAAACAACTAAAGACTGGATAAAGTAAAACCCAGTAAGAGGGACACATCGAAATAAATATTCACATTAATCATGGGGTGAAAGTCCAAGGTTAAAATGCAATATTAGGCTTAGCACCTTTTTGAGGGGAAAGTAGCTGACATGATCTTGAAACAAAATTTTGCAAAGGAATTAACCCTTTAACATTTTCAGATAAACATGTGACTAGGTGATGAGGTGCTTTAGTTAAAGCTCTCAGTCATTATGAAGGTAGAAAGGCACTCAAAATACTTGGTATATTCATCCTCATCTGTCAGCTATGGAAAGTCAAACGTAATTTGTCTAGTTTTCCTATAATATATTAAATTTACAATATTTATCTGTGGCAGTTAAAAAAAATTCTCTATGCCATACCAAAATGTTTGGTAGAACAAACAGATGTACTGCTAAGGCTGCTGTGAATGGTATTTATCAGCTGATCTAGAGCCTCTATTCTGCAGAGCTCATCTCCTTCCTCAAAAATGCTTTTACGCCATAGTGTCACCATAATCATGCGTGCAGTGAATTTACCAGCCTAAGCAGGCTGACAGGGAGAAGGCTGCTGGGAGGTGGGTAGAGATGATGTGGTCAGCAGACGCTAGAGAGATAGTCTTCAAATAGTGCTGAGGTGCGCGGTCTGGTGCAGAGGGAACAGCCGCGCACCTTCCCCCTCCGCTCACCTAACAGAGTCCTGACTTCTCCCAAAAGCTGCATCAAACAGGATTTTACATTATTTGTGTTTCATGACCAGGGAGGCTGCAGCCACAGCCTGAGCAAGGGAAAGAAGACCAAAAAAAACAAAGGGAAAAAAAAAAAATAAAAAAAAATCACTTCTGCCAGCACTAGAGTATCCACCCTGTGAACAGTGGTCAGCAGAACCTGTCTCTGTCAATAGTGATAACTTGCAGGGGTCAGAGGGGGTCTCGGAGTGCCTGAAGCAGCGGCCCAGCCACAGGCAGCAGTACTGAGTACGAAACGCCAGGGCCCTAAACCGGCTCCGCTCTCCGCTCTCCCAGGGAACCTGGACAGCTGCAGTGGTAGCTGCTCTGGTAACAGCAGCACCTGGAAGCTGTGAATTAGGGAGCCCAGCTGTAGGTGCAAAGGTACCAGCCGTTTTACGTGAGTGCAACAGTGCCTTGAAATGAAGGAAGAAAAAAAAAAAAAGGGTCTGATACATTTCAAACCTGGCTGTCAAAGCAAGTTTCTTGGCTTTCTGTTTACATCCCTAAGTAGCCTCATCTCTGCAGCCAGCCCAGAATGGGAAGCAAGTCTCTTAGAGCAAAGCTTCCAGCAACAGCTGTACCTAAAAAACCCATAATCAAATGAACATGTGGATTTGGCTCACCAGATTCTTACCACAATTCTAGAAAAGTAGTCCATTGCCCACTAACACACAACATCCAGTAGTAGTTTACTCACTGTGGCAGTCAGATTTGGCAGAACAAAATTAAGTTCAAGCTCCACAGAACAGACAGAAATTAGCTAGTTCACTGTGCGACTTACACTGCAAAAACGGAACAGCTGGTTACATCCCATTCTTTTAGCATGTTCAATACCCTTGACTTTCTTCTCATTGGCAGTGTAAAAATAGTGCAGATTTGATGATTAATTGAAACCCAAGTTAAAAAAACACAACATTGATTGGAAAAAACCCGCTACTTACTCCAAATCTTCTCACTGCTGAGAAGAGAATGCCATCATCTCTTAAGCAGACTGATTTATCTACACATCACGAGCAGATCACACGGATCTTAACTGAGAATTTCCAAACTAACTTCAGAGTTCAGGTCCTTCTACTGGTAGTGCATTTTATTCCCCTTTGAAGAGATCAACCCATGTTATAATTCATATATATACTTACTTCCATCCCTACAATCAATAAATTATGTGCTTTTAAAACCTCATTTTCAAAGCACACTACACATATTTCAGTTCATACACCATTTTACCTTAGTTGTAACTTAAACCCACGTGTCACGAGCAGCTAGACAAAGATTACAACATGTTTTACCTGATAAATCTTTAGCGTCAACAAATATATAGCGTGATTTGGCTGCATTCAAACAAACTTTGGTTGACTGGACAGGATGGGTTCTGAAATGAACTGCTGACAGGCTTCTGCTGTCAAAAATCATCTCATCGGCACGCTTAAAAAGTTGAAAAATGCAGTGTTTAAAGTCAAAA